GTCTTCAGGAAAGCTGTAAAAACCTGGCTGTTCCAGGAGGCCTGGGGCTGTTGACCTCATTGTTGAGGTCCAACCCTGATTAGAATGAATGTATGTGGTATTGTGATTTTAAACTGTCTTTTTTTTCCCTCTTTTTTTTCTCTCTTTTTTTGTAAGCTGCCCGGAGTCCTTTGGGATTGGGCGGCATATAAATTTTGATAATAAAATAAATAAACAAACAAACAAACAAATAAATAAATAAATAAATAAATAATTCTATTCTGCTCTGTTCTGCTCTGTTCTATTCTAAAATAATTATAACCTTGGATTTTAAATTTCTGGCAAATTTTAAATTTTATTTTCCTCCAATTCATCAATGTTTAATTAAAAGAAACAGAGTATATCTGAGATTAAAATATGTTTATTATAATCAGAATCAGAAAAGAGCTGGAACGGACATGGAAGTCTTCTAGTCAGACCCTCTGCTCAAGCAGGAAACCTTACACCTTATCAGACAAGTGACTGTACAGTCTCTTTTTTAAAAACCTTTAGTAAAGCACCCACAACTTCCATAGCAAGCTGTTCCACTGGTTACTGTTAATTATCCTCACTGATAGGAAGTTTGATCTTAATTCCAGGGTTAGTTTCCCTCCATTGTTTCTTGTGCTTTGGAAAATAAATTGATCCCCTTCTGTTTGCGGCAGCTTCTCAAATACTGAAATACTGCTATCATGTCATCACTAGTCTTTCTTTTCTCTAGACTAGCCAAACCCAAATTCTGCAACTTTTCTTAATATGTTTTAGTCTCCAGGCCTTTAATGATATTAATCATTTAATCATGCTCTTCTTTGCATTTCTACCAACGTCTCAACATCTTTTTTGTAATGTGGTGACCAAAACTGGATGCAGTATTCCAGATATGGCCTTTATCATTAAAGACGGACTGTTTTGGCATCCCAATATTTTAGATCGGGGTGTAAAATTCAAGAGTGCTTAAATCTGTCCTACGGGCCTGGCCTGGAAATATCAAAGGACCGGCCCACGATGCTTCTGCCAGCCAAAACAGGCTGCAGGAGTGCATGCAGCCCCCATGTGGCCCATTTTTGGCCTCCTTGGCCTCCAGCAGCACTCTGCTGAGCACAAACGGGCTGCGTGTTGCCTCCTTGGCAACTAGTTCATGTTATTAACAGCTGCAATATCTTGTGATCATGTGATCAACTTTTTGACCTTCTGAGAAACAAAATCAATGGGGAAGCCAGATTCATTTAACAACTTATTAATTTAACTGTGATGATTCGCTTAATAACTGTAAAATGAGGCAAAACTCACTAAACAAATGTCTCAATTAACCACAGAAAATTTGGGCTCAATTGTGATCATAAGTCGAGGACCACCTGTACAGTTGCAGTGCAGCCACTCGGAAACTGGAGGGAATGCTTTTCTAAAGAGGGGTGGAAAGCCAGATGAAAAAATCCAAGCCTGAAATCTCTGAAGATGACACTGGCTAAAGGTAGAAACTCAGAGAGAACTTTTATTTTCAGATTTAAAAGGATAGGCAGAGTGTACTGTTAGAACCAAAGGGCTTTAAAGGCGACAATAATCTCTCTGAATTGCATCCAGAAATGAAATTATAATCTGTGTAGATCTCAACAGATGGATGTTAAAGGATAAATCACCCGGTATCCATAACTACTTAAGCACTGCATTTTGAACGTGTTATAGTTTTTGGTATCTTAAGATTAGTGCAGTCCTTGAAATATCAGATACACAAAACCATTATTTTCTTACCTCGGCTGAAGAATTCAAAGGCAATACTGATGTTTCATTCTCTGTATTTCTTGTAGGACAATTACATGGTGAACTTGGGCCTGATCCTGGAGAACTGCTACCAACTGATGATTCTGGAATGTTGGTAAAAGAAATAAATCTAAGTATGATTGGTCATTATAAAGTTTCACCTACAATAGAAAATAAGTTGCCCACACAATGTATTCCTTTATTCGTGTTATAATTTTTCTTTACCTCATAATGTTTCCAATACACAAAAACCCACAATTTATTACTTGAGCAGTAATTTTTCTCCTTCCTCAGTAGTAGGCAAAATACTAAAAAAAAGTTCCTAACGAGTAAAGGAAAAGGAAGTACCTTTGGCTGCATTCTCTGCTGCCTCTGTAAGAGACCAGCATGATAGAGATACTGGACTCCCAAAGGTCAAGATAACATGTCATCAATTCATGAGGCCTGCTGCCATTCCTAGGCTGTTTGGATAAACCCCTGGAGGACTCAGTTGTGAACTGGCCTTTATATGAGCAACTAATAAAAAACAATACCTCATTTGCAGTTCAGTCAGTGAATTTTAAGGGAAAAACAGTTATCTTCAAAACCTTAATATAGTATCTTAATGATTTTATCATACTTTGTTTTTTTATGTGTGTATATAATATGCCAAAGCAAAATGGTATGTTTATAAATACTATTCATCATACAAACATAAAATGTCCTTTTTATATAAAAAGTAAATGAACAGATGGCTCATAAATACTGTCTTCAAAAATAATCTTGATGCTAACGAGCAAAAGACACACAATATCATTTGGTTCCTTTAAATTACCTAATTACTAAGGCTGTGACTGAAATTATTGAAAATTGTTTCAGATCTCATGCAAGCACAAACATGGTACCTCATTAAAGAAACTTTTATGATCTTTTTCAGGTTTCTGCACAAACTACAAAATAAAGATGCCATTTAAAAAAATAAACTGGTAATTAAAGTGACTTTAATAGCACAATCTTCTTCAAACCTTGCATGGAATCTTGGAAAGGTTTGGCCATTTTAACATGTATATAGCTGGAGTTACTGTGGTTCATTTTTACATAAGATATAAATAATTTCTTGTGAATAACTTTTTCTAAATCATTTTTTAGAAGTGCACAATTCTTAGGATTTACATTGATTTTAAAAGTATCTTCCAAATAAAGATCCTCATTAAAACAAACCAGTGGCAGAAATAATATAATAAGAACTAGTGTAAATTAAAGTTAATTAAACTAGTGGAACCATAAAATAGATAAAGTCAAAGAAAATGAAGAAGATAAATTGCTCCAGCACTTTAGAATTCAAACAGACAGGCCACATAACACCCCAGATGTATTATCAATAAGAAAGACAAAAATGGCTGGATAGATGAAAAGGCTGGAGGCAGAATGAAAGAGAAAGAACTGGAGAAGATAACAAAATACAAAGATCTGCAAACAGAAATAGAATGACTATGGGAAAAGAAAGGAAAGGTAGTATCAATATTACTGTATTTTGGTGAAATCCCAAAACAACTGGAGCACTACCTGAACACCATTGGATTGACAAAACCACCATAATCAATTGCAAAAGGCAGTTTTACTTAGAACATATTCTGAAATTATATCTTTAACCCTTTAAACTTCAAAATCTGCCTAACCCAGATCCTTGGGAAGGACTCTATAGTTAGATAAAAATACCAAATCCAGTCTGGATAGCTGCCTGGCTATGTAATAAACTATAAAAATAATTAGACATGATATTTCTAGTTCATTACCTGTTAATCTTTTCTTCAATGAGCAGACCATTGTTCCATCCTTCCTTCTGAGTAAAGGGCTGCTTCTTCTTTCTGTTACTTTTTGTTTTAACTTGGAGCGAACTTTCAAATTGGGTTCAGAGGCTGAGAATAAGATCACAAAATCTATCATTACAGACTACAAACCTGCAAGCTTCCTTTTGGGATCTGCTGCCTTCCCAGTTTGACAAAGTTAGACAATAACTTCCAATTTAACAACATGGCCATTGAACAAAGTTATGCAAATTATTAAATAAGACCATGTTCAGATATAAATGTCTGAACCACTATTTGAAACCATGGTTTATGTTGTCTGTTTATATATATATGTCTTAATGCAATGAATGATAATTTACTTAGTTTGTATTAACTCATCTTATTTCTGGTTTATTACTGTTTATTGCTGAAGCCTCAATAAATCTATAAATACCAATTTTAAAAGAATAAACCACCAGCAAAATGCAAACAAGTCATGATTAGCTTGGTTTTTTGCAAAAACATTGGGTTCTTGGACTCCTAATCATCTCTTTAAATCATAAACAGTGGAGTTTGATTTATGAATTCTACATGTTTGTATAAAACAAATGTGGTTGACATGTGGTGTTTTTAATATTACATGAAATTTCCTTCATCTTTCGCATTTGCCATGTAGATAGGGCTGAAAGAAAATGGAATTTAAAATCTGGAAAGTCAAACACTGATATAAAATATTGTTCAAAACTATTTGTTTTAATTTACTCATTTCCCAAATGCTCTGTAAAGTGTACTGATGTTGTTTCATTATTTTTTAAGTGAAAAAGTATACTTAAAGAATATATCTTGTTCATGACAATTATCACAACTGAAAAACAGGATAAACCTAATATATCTATTTGTTTTTTTAAGTAAATTTATCTACATATTTATCTATCTACATATTTATTTATTTACTTATTTATTTAGTTAGTTATTTCTATCAGTGATACTCCATTCCTTCAGCCTCTAAACTATATACTATATAATCATCAGTAAAATAATTACTGTAACATTATAATAATTACTATAACATTATAATCATAAATGTAATCCACCCATTCCAACAATATCCTCCACCAAGGACAGATTCTGTCTTACATCCCCTATTGTTAGAGCAAACATCCATGTACTAATAGTCTTATGGAAAGAGTTGATTTGGTTTTGCAAAGGTAAGCTGATTCAGAGAAGGAGACCACCATTGAGAAGGTTTGATTAAAGGTCTTTGTGGGTAGAATTCCTTTAGAGATAGGACCTACAGCAAGCCTTCTCTCCCTGTTTACTGAATTGACAGATTTGTGAAGACAGTCAGAGAAGATACTCTTAAAGACATTGAGGTCCTAAACCATGGAAAGATTTAAAAATGATAACCATACTCTGAATTCACTCCAAAGCTAATTGGCAAACAATTCAGCTCTTGGAATAGATTGGATTAATTTTATTCAGGTGGTTACATGTACAGAAGGGTAAAACCTCCTTCAATGTTTTTCAAGGAAGTTGCAAACCTCCAATGTTAAGGTAACAAAAACAAGAATGGCATTCCTATGTGAAACATAATTTCCAGATTAGGCTAGCCGTGAGCGTGCTGGCCTTTCACAAGGCGCTAAAATGTTGGATTTGTTTCTAGGTCTGGTAAGTCCACTTCCTGATGTAGTTGATAGTTATTTTATGAAGTTTAGCTTTCATGTGTTTTCATTTTGTATTATATGTTTTGTTTGTTTTTATCTGCTCACATATGTGAGATAGACACCTATAATAATTAAAAAAAATTAAAAAATGATTATGTGCAATGCATTTTAATTCAAAAAAGGACAAAAGTGCTACAATTCTGTGAAGGCTGTCCTTGTCATGGCCTTCACCTACTGTTCAAGTGGAAGTTTGAGTCCAAGAGAAACTCAAGATTGTGAATCAGCTCCATATAGGAGCACTACTTTAGCATGTAGAGAACCGGGATAACCTTGAAGGAAATAAGAATTATTATATAAGAAAAGAAGCTAAACATTCCTTAAGTTCTGAGGAACAATAAGTATTCAATGAGATATAAGAGGAAGGAAGGTAAAATGCAATCGGAGTTGCAAAATTCAGGTTCTCAAAAAATATATAGTTCTAGTCTTATAAGAACTCTATTTCCTGATATGCTTTACCACAAAAGGCTGACATTAATCTTGCAAGACTTATTGTGCCTTACCTCCTCTCTCTTTTACCTTATTTATTCCATTATTCAATTTCTATAGCCACCCATCTCAGCCTAATGACTGGGGGTGACTTACGATTCTAAAATCATAAAACAATTAAAAAGAATAAAAGTATTACAAAAATAAATACATATTACAGATGAGTTCGTTAAGCAATTAATAGTAAAGTCAAGAAACAGAGTCCTAACACATTATAGGCCTAGGTACATAGACAAATTTTTAAAGTCTTATGAAAGGCCAACAGGCTTGGGACCATTTTAATCTCCAATGGGAGTATATTGCACAAAGTAGGATCTATGGCAGAGGAGGTCCATCTTCTAGTTCCTGCCAATCAACTTTCTGGATGACAGGATCTGCAGTATGCCCAATCTTCTGGATCGAATTGAAAGGATAGAGATTATTGGAAAAAGATGGTTCCTCAGGTAACATAGTCCCAAGCCATGTAGGGCTTTAAAGATGATAACCAGCACCTTGAATTGTACCCAGAAACACACTGGTAGCCTTTGCAGCTCACTTAGTAGTGGTGTTACATTTTCTATATATCCAGCATAATTTACTACCCACACATTCTACACCAGTTTATATCTCAGTGAATCAGGAGGATCCTACCTGAATCTCTTCCAAACACTACCTTTTCCTCAAGGTGATCTCCTTGACTCTCCACATAACCTACAGATGGAACATATTCAGATTGATAAGCCTTTGGATTCACAACTATTCCAGCCTATTAGTGCTCAGATGTGGAGCTGGCTATCTTCAGCCTACTAATGTTATCTCACTCTGTATCAATGAACGGCCTATTCCAGCAGCTTCAAGTAAATGTTGAGTGGCAGGGCATCCTTATAATAGAACATCTGAGCAGGTGACCTCTTCCCAGACACATGTTGTTTTCTCAGATACATACTGTTTGCTGTTGACTACTCAGAAAGAGTAATAACCACTGTAAAACAATGTCCCACATTTCCAACCCTGAAAAAGGTCCAGTTACTATGGCCAAAAGTTCAACAAAACCAGGACAGTCACACTTCTCCATTTCAACCTTGCCAGAGATAATCTAGCAGAGCAACCATAGCCAGTTGTGAATCTTAACTAATATGGGAATAAATAATTCATCCTCTCTAGAACTCTATGTAGTTGTAAAACCACCACCTTTCCTAAAAAAGATAGTTTGACTCTAGAACATAAAAATGTAAAATATGTGGGTTTCCAAAGGAAAATTGGGACTGTCTTGGAAGATGACTTGGAAAATTCAAAGTCATCTTCAGTACAGAATATAGTAACCAACTGCAAATGGGTTAGAACCATTTAGTTGGTTTACCTCACTCTTGTTAGCATTGTGATGGGTACTTTTTGCAGATCAAATTCAAGTGCTATTTTTCACATATAAAACATTTTCATATTTCCTCCAGTACCATCTGGTCTGAACAGAATTTTCCCATCTAGTGTGGCCTACTCAGGAGTTGCTCCACATTCCCATCTTCAGGAAGCTAGAAATATGGAAGAGAAGAAGCAAACATTTTCCAACCCTGTTCTAGTCCTGTGGAAAGTTTGCCATCTAATGTTTTGTGACACTTCATTTTCCTACCTTTTAGAAAGCCAACATCGACTACATTCTTTTACCATTCCTGGGGGATGGGGGCATTTGCTTATTATATCTGGTTCTAGATATTTTGTGATAATAATAAATACCTTTCTTTCAATTACAATAATAAAAAAATAAGTAAATTGTTTTGAGTCCAATCACTTGGCAAGATAGGTAAACAAATAAATATAATAACCTTGAAATTGTGAGGTATTTGCTTGTTCTCAATATATATTTAATGTACTTTACATAGGATTGCTTTTTCATCCAAACAAGAAACTTCAGTCAGTATAAAAGTCAGCAGTCAAATTTGTCTTAAGAACAAGGCAAAGAAGCTATATTACATTCCTGCTTAAAGCAGTGTATTGATAGCCACTTCATTTCTAGGCAAAAAACAAAGTGCTGGTCATTATTATTACTCTTCAGAGATCCAGGTTATTTCAGTGAATGCCTCTTGCTACATGAATTTCAATATCTAACAGCATTTAAATGTCCATTAAGTTGTTTCACAATTATTCAGCAGCACTGAGCTTTCTAGACTTTGAAATTCAATCCCTGGGTATTTTAGAGTCCCAGTGTATATATCAGCTTTTAAAACAGCCCTTAAAATACATCTTTTAACCTTTGCTTTGATCAATTATTTTAATCATTAATATTTCCTATTATTTAATTGACATTGTAGCAGCTTATTAATTTAACTTTAAATAAATAATTCTGTTCTTACAAAATTGATCTGAACTACGATGAGTTCATCAAAATATCAGATTGTGATCTGCCTTGTAAGCACATTAAACTCTCTATTGTAAAGTATGTTACAGATGGTTGAGTTGTCATTATGACATACTGAAAGTCAGTTGCTTGCCTCTACAAGTGAAAACAATTCTAAAAGAGTTTGCATTATGAAATTGTTTTAGTCCAATTCACTGATTTGATCCAACTCTGCTTATTTTGGGGGATTCATTACCCAACTTGTTATTTAAAGGATAAGTCTGACCTTTGGCTTGAAAAAAAAATAGAGAGAACATGCATCAGGGTTGTGTTCAACCTTCAGGGGATGGGATGGGTGTGGCCAGAGTGGGCATAGCCAGTTCAACATCATTCATGTCAGGGGGCGCTTGTGGTGACCTGAATGAAAATGGGCTCCCAAGTTCTATTTTCAACTCTGATGGCTTCCTGCAATCCTCTGCCAGTGAAAATAGAGCTCGGGAGAGCTACCCATCCAAGTTCTGTTTCTACTAGCAGAGGCACTCCGGGCCGGTTCTTTGTTGTTTCCAAGGTAGCCCTGCGGACAGATCTAAACATGCTGCAGGCCACATCCAGCCAGCAGGCCTTGAGTTTGACACCCCTGTTCTAAGGCTTATAAATAGATAAGTTGGTGAAGGTGACGTTACCATTTTTTGGGAAGGCCAGAATTTGTCCGGCCTAGTCCAAGAGCAACATAAAAAACTCCAGGTAAAGTTCAATTCTCTATTTGCTTACACCTTATAGGCAGAATTTTGCCAGATTAAACCTACACTACCCTCACCTAACAGATATACCCTGGAGGATTCTAGAGAATGGTTCTTTTAAAGCTCTTCCTCGTAACATGCTCCAGCTTCAGACTATGCTGAATCTGCTCTTGTCCTCTTTGAAATGTGTTTGGAAAGATTAGGGAGAAATATCTACAAATGAATGAATAAATAAATTGTCTTTCTTATCAAAATAATATTTTATTTGCAGAATTATTTTAGGAAATCAAGATTTAGATTTCTCTTCAACCATGAAGGAGCCTGGTGACATTAAGTAAATCATTATTATTCAACCTAGCCTATCTTATAGGATTGTTATAGAGATAATAGAGATAATACTGGAAGAACCATGAATGATAATTTGAACTGCTTGGAACAAATGAACATTTATAAATATTAAGACAAAAGTGACAATGTTAATCTATTTTGCCTCCCTAAAGAATTTAATTAAGATAAAATTACTTTATGATTTGGATTTTTTAATCCTAATTATTAAATAAGTTTGACTTAATTAGCTTCATGCACAGCATAAACTTCCATCTGGTAGAGTAATTTTACAGACTTAATTGTATACCACCATAAGTCAATAGGACACTGAGGAAAACTATTGAAAAGCTATTTCCTTTCCTTTGGAAGAGAATTATGTACAATTTCAGCATGATTTGCATTGCTAACACTGAAAGCCAACTGGGAGAAATCACTCTCATTTATATTACTTTCCCATGAGAAAATCAAGAAAGACTATAAAACTAGTGCCATTATTCAAAAAGAGCTCCAACATACTGAGTCTGAGCACATATTTAATATAAACTTTTCCATAGCTTGGAAAAGATCCTTTATCAATAACCGACACAGTCTGCTTTAGAAGTCTGATATATAGCCATAACTAAGAGGGAGAGCTTTGTGATCTCATCTTTGTGCTGTGTAGACCAGAAATGCCATTCTATGTACAATTCCTGACAGTAGCAAAGAGAATCTGCTTTATTCTTGTGGGGCTCTACAAGGTTCGCTCCTCACCCATTTCTGTTACTATAGATCTATCCCATTACTTTACCAGACTGTCAGACTGCGGCTTCCTGAAAATGAAGAAAATGTTTCAATATCCAGCAACTTCATAATTGTGTGGAACCTAATATTTTGATGATTTTTTTTCATAAGATGAGTGATATGATCAATAAATGAAGAGTCGGCTTGATATGAAAGAACAACTGAATTTTGTACAAGCATTGAACTTGGCTGGCTTTGATGCAATATTGAATTTTTTAAAAAGAATTTTTGAAAAATCTAGTGTCATATTTGGGGGCAATGTGAATTTCATCAACCTGTTTTGTCCAGTGATTCATCTCTTCCTCTACACCTTAATATATTCTGCAATCTCACTACTGCGTGACCTCATTAACTTCAAAGATGGAGTCACCTGATACCTACCAAGTTTTCTTGTATTCACATACTCTATTTACTCCAACTAAGCTTCAGTTTATTTAGAAATAAATAGTCGGGAGATAACTTATTTCCCCAAGTTGATTTCCTATCTTTCAATTCATTTATATAGTAGAATTTTTTTTTCTATCTGTTCAAATGTAGACAGCATTTGCAAATCATCACTTTTGCCTTCTTGGTTACAATTGCCAACCATAAAAAGCAAAGAAGAGAATCAATAGACAAACTTTTTATATAATAGACATTTCAACTCATACATTCTGCTTTGGATTTGCAATCATTTAATTTGAAGTGCATAGTTAGAGGTAAGAACAGAGATTCCTTGTTTTCTCAGAAAAAACAAAGCCCAATGCTGATGAAGCAACTTCTTCAAAATTAGATGACAAGCCTACACTGATTGGTTGAATCAGAAACCAGTGACACTCACCATTCATAGCTCAAAGAAAAGGATAAGGGGGAAAAATACACTCTTGTGACAAAGGTCAAACATTTGCCAAAAAAGAACCTGCTTCTCTCTTTCCTCCTTACTCTCTGAATGTTTCATGGGACAGCTTTGTCAGAAATGGTCCCATGAGGATGCAGTAGGCTCCAGAATGTCCCCTTTGCCTAAAGGATGCCCTGTAGCCACCCTGATCAGTTTAGGGTCATTTCACTTGTGTCATCCCAGTTCCGGTTGTTTTTCCTCTAAAACTGTCAAGTACTTATTAGAAGCTGAATGTGAATATGTTGCTGAGGGCCGAAATTAGTCCCCCTCAAATTTAGTATCTATTTCTTAAACAAAATCTACTAGAATGGCAACCAAATGATAAACTTGTGATGGGAAAAAATATTTTCTTTAAAAAATAGTTACTATGTTAACATTCTGCACAAAACTGCATTGATTATAGAAGTAGCCAAAATGAAATGAGTTCATTCTTCTTTTCTCTCACCCCTGGGTTTTTAAAAAGAATCTCATAGTTGTGTATTCTCTCTGCAGCTGACGTGCAGTGTGCCCAAATATTTGGAATAATGTATAGAAAACATCTGTTTTTAATTATGCTGTAGCTCATATATAGACAATGAGAATTGAATTAAAGAATATTTTGAAACCCCCATGGAGATGTAAGAGTATTAACAGCTGCAATGCAGAACAATACTGTTAAAATGTTTGAAAATGTTTAACTTTACCAATCAACAGTGTTATACCTCTTAAATATTGATAATGCCTTTCAAAGGAACTTTTTAAAATAGGAAAGCAAATTAAGCACACACGCAAATGTGTGTGTGTGCGTCCACGCACGCACACACACACACACACCATTTTAAAGGATCGCCATATTAGAACAAGAGAAAATATAATAAAAAGTTGCTTTTAGGAAGTTCTTTTAATTCTTTATATTTTTGTATATACAAAGTATTGTTAAAAAAAGAATTTAAAAAGAATTTCAAAACAGCTATTTATTTTAGACATTAATCTTATTAACTGAACAATTTATAAATCTACCAGAGAAATATTTTTTAGATAATTGAAATATCCACGAACATGTTACCTTTTTCAGTACTGTAATACATTTTTCAATCGATCAATGGCTATAGTATTTTCAAAATAATCATGCAGACCGAGGGGTAGTAATGCACAAGAATTCTAGACTTCTTAAAGCATGAAAGCCAACTGAATAACTTTATGCCATTCACGCTTTCTCAGCCCACCTCAGAGGTTTTTTTGTTTTTTGTGGGGAAAATAGGAGGAAGGTGGAGTATTAGGCTTCTTTGCTGCCTTGACCAGACCAAATAATCTATTTAAAAAGTTAGGATAAAATATCAACACCATCCTCCTCCTCCATCATCACTATTGGCACCACACCATTAATATCCTATCCTCCGCTCATGTAATCACAATCAGCAGCTGTTGTGAAAATGGAAAATAAGATTCCAATTTAGCTTATATAATTATGTTTTATCTAAACTCAAATCAAGTATTACATACTATGATTAGATCAAGTTTCATATGATTACAGAATTAAATTAGCATTTAAAATCATTTTAATATGCTCACCAGTTTTGCGGAGTGGGAAGTCATCCTTGGCATCTTGTGCCCCCGGCAATGTGTATTTATATGAAGACGTCCCACAAAGGGGAGGAGAAGCTTGATCCAGTGAGGTATGATGGGAAGCCCTATAGAAAAGTAGTTATCACTGATTAGTATTACTTATTAATATACAAATTAGAAATGATTTTTCTGCATCATGTCCACAAAATGTATAGAGATTTAAGCCCTTGTTCTCTTCCAATAATTCAGGAGGTATAAGTCTGGAGATATGTTCTCTGGAAAAAGGAAGATCCTGTTACCTGATTTTAATTTTATTGTTTTGACTTTTTAAAATCAAAGATTGCATGAAAAGGGAAAACCTTTTAAATTTTAGCAGCAGGAATAAGACTCTCTAAAGGGAGAGTCACTACTGGGTTTCCCTGAAAATAAAATAAGCCCTGCAATGATTTTAGCATGTGCCTAATATAAGCACTACTCCCAATAGGCCTAGTTAAGAGCCTGCCCACTCCATAGGAAGTTGGATTGTTTCAGCTGCAAGGAACTTGGCCTAAGGATTCTGTTACCCAGGCTTTCTGAAGATGATGGGAACCACAGTCCGCTGCAGTTGAAGAGTTTTATTGAGCCGTGAAGTTGAAAGCACCCTTAAAGCATAGCGCACCCCAAGCGAGGAAGCGTTGTGAGCTTTGAGGGTGCTATTGTCCACATTCCTGTAGCTTATGTGCAGAATTCATATCTCGCCATCCCATTGGGGTTCAGGGAGGCTAATCATGGTAAATACAAATCATTTTTTTGAGAAATACAGGGACATATTACAATATTGATGATGAATGTAAATAAAAAGGAAGTTTCCAAAGCCTTCCTTCCCCACCAAATGAAACCTGAGATGCCTCACAGAGTATCCCCACCAAGGAACCAGTGGACTGTGGCCAGACACTCTTGCCCCCTCCTTCCTGTGCACTCACTTTCTCCCATGCATGCATGGAGGGCTGGGCTTTGTGATGCAAAAAAAGACATCCCTTGAAAATAAGCCCTAATTGGTCTTTTGGACTGAAAATAAATATTAATAAATACTCGGTCTTATTTTTAAGAAAACATGATAAATGGGTATTTTGAAATTGGCCCTTGCCTCACATATCACTATTTACGTAAACATATAATTTATGATAATACATGTTGTAATAGAGCCCCAGTGCATTGACTACCACTATCCTAATCATCAACATCATCATTTATCACCATTAAAGTTTTCCTTAAAAACATACAAAATTTTCATTTAAATACTGTATACATAGAACATAGTTATTCCATCTTAATTCAAAACAGAGTTAAATGAAATCAATGGTACTGGTATTTCATTTTATATCAAAAATACTGTATTCACAGGACCTATCTGAACAATTAAAAAAAGAGGCTGGTTTAAGTGACATCAAAGGAAAAGTAAGGGAGATGCAGTACCTCATCTCTCTTCTATACTGAATAGCATATGGTTAAATTCATTTTCTCCTGATTAAGATTAGTATTTTTGTTTGATAATAAGAAGATGGCTTAAGATGCAAAAGGATAAACATACATGTGCCAGAGCTTGGGGCGCCGGCTAGTGGAATGATTCTTTTCATTAGATAGTGAGTCTTTTGCCGCTGATTTACTCAGCAGGAACTCTTGAAGTTTCTGCTTCACTTCAGTACTGGCCACTGCTCCTAAAACATACAGCATTTTTTATCATTCCATTCATATATACCCATGCATTCCAATACAGCTTTCTAATTTTGACTGTGGTCCAAATAAGTATCTAATAAAAATTTAATATGAGCAATTGTGAGCAATTCATATGAGCAATTACAATGACAGAACAAAATAAAATAATGAAAAGAAAAACAGTGTAAATTAAAATTGTAAAGCATATCTTTTAGCTTCACTGAAACCAAGTAATACAATAAAGGGAAATAAAACCAATGTGGTGTAGTAGTTAATGGAAATGGTCTAAGAATAAGGAGTTCCAAATTCAGATCTGATTTCAACCATCGTACCTCAACGGGTGAATTTTAGATCAGTTTTAGGATTGCAGGGAAAACTGAGGGGGGAAAGTACAGTATATTCCATCCTGAACACCTCTGAAGAAGATATATTAGTCTAACAAATAAGCAACAAGAGATATGGGTTCACTCTTAGTTTTGTAACCTGAACAGTGGTCTTCAATATAACAGATCTCTTGAACATTATTTAAATCAGAATAGGCAATCTATTACCAGAAGACAATATTTGGCCTCATCACCACCTATTTCCATATGTGAGGCAAACTATATCTATTTACACATTCAATTCCCACAATTTTTAGTCCCCTCACTTGAATGACATAACTTGAAGCACCCTGAGAGGCTAAAAAATATTTTAAAAAACATGGTATCTAAACAATAAATATTTCCCACCATTGCTTTAAACTATAGCAAGATGATTAGGGGACTGGAGGCTAAAACATATGAAGAACGCTTACTGGAATTGGGTATATTTAGTTTACTGAAAAGAAGGACTAGGGGAGACATGATAGCAGTGTTCCAATATCTCAGGGGTTGCCACAAAAAAGAGGGAGTCAAACTATTCTCCAAGCACCTGAGGGTAGAACAATGGGTGGAAAATAATCAAGGAGTGAAGCAACTTAGAACTGAGAAGAAATTTCCTGACAGTTAGAACAATTAATCAGTGGAACANGTCAGCGACGCGGTTTAATCGGGCGCGCTTTAGTCGAGCACGGTTTTGTCATGCTACGAGTAATAAGTAGTAATATTTACAAAATATAAGCATATTCACATCTAAGTCTTCTTCTCCAGCCTATTTTGCAACCCTCTCTGGGTGTAGTAATTAATTTTTCTCATGTAAGGCATATTTTATTTAAAACCATGATTTAAAGAAGACACTTTAACTGGTTAAGTTTTCATAACACATTTAGTCACAGTACACAAACTACAATGTCTAGATTCTCACATACTAAGCCAATCTCAAACAAACCAAATGTAACTAAATATGCTGCACAAGGCTATGCAAGTGCTTCTAAATAAATGCTTTGCAATGGATGAAAACATGTTCATGTATTTTCTGAATTATTAACCTATCATGTTATTTTGAAGATCCACATGAAATTGTATTTTAATTTTAAAGTCTCACATAGCTCTATAGGACAGAGAAGCACGTACCAAATATGGTCCATTTTTTAACAGAATATTTGTGGCATCAATGATATAATTAGGGAGCAATTCATAAATTGGCCATCAGCCAGCTGAGTGACTTTTCAGGACAATGTTTTCCTATCCAGTGGGACAATGTAAAAGATTCTGATACATCCACGAAAAGTTGAATTGATAGGTATGGATAACCTCATTGAAGTTATAGCAACATGGAGTTGGAAGAGCACATTTAGAATATTGCATCAAAGCTCTTACTCTATATACAGATCCAAACAAATACCTGTCCAGACTTTGCTTCAACTAGGAAGTAAAAGAACCCATTACACCTTTTGGTAATTGAGTCCATTATCAAATAAGTCTAATATTTACGTACATGGAACTGCCTTTCTATTTTCAAGGCTGAATTTTAAAAAAAAACAACAATTTTTAAACTGTTGCAATTAATTATATGACTGTATTTTGTGTCTCTTATACCTCAATTCAGATATTATATATTGATTCTATCAGTACAGGTTAAGAAGGTTTCAAACAACATGGACTAAGTTCAGAACAATTAGGCTTATAAAAGTAAAAATTAAGTATTATGATCAGAAATTGAAGCAATGGAAATATTTGAGTCTTGAGGGGTAAGAGAAGCTACATTTGAACTCTTCAAATGGGTTGCCATAGAAGAAGGTCAGGACTTGAATTATGATGCTGCAGATTTAAATTCTATTCAGAGTAAACAAATATTTCATGTTTCTATCAATTTGAGATTCTAATTCTGCTCATACACCTTGCTCTTTACAATTTCTTATTGCAGTATTATAAATTTTCAACCCATATTTCATCTGCAGAATTTTCATCTCTTATTACATCTGCTTAGTGGTACCCAGATTTTATTAAAATGTGCAGGAAAATCTATCAGGTGACTGGGACAATCATTTGGTCAGTCATTTGGCGAATAAAAATGTATTTGCTCTGAGTTGATAGGTAGCAACTGGGTAGATAGGTAGCAACTGGGAAATGACAGAAGCAATGTCTTGCAGTATCACTCCAAAAGGTTTTGGTGACCGTTGATAGGATCCTCTGTGATGTAAGCACTACCAATTGAGACCGTGACTCTTGTCCCTTCTAACTAATTAAAGCAGCACATAAGACAATGGATCAAGACTACAGTCAGCATTTAATTGCAGGAGGAATATATACAGCTGCCTTGAGAAAGGTGCTGGTCTGCCCTCTCTTCAAGATGTTTGGTTTAGGATGCAATATTATCCACAGACTCCTTATCTTTGGAATAACTACTCCCTGAGAAATGAATGTGTCTTAGTATTATGGCCTTCTGGAGAATAATTAAAGTTTGGCTTTTATAGTAAGCATTTAGCAATTAAGCAACTAGAGGAAGATCCATATAATTATTGCTTGTATTTNCAATTAATCAGTGGAACAGCTTGTCTCCAGAAGTTGTGAATGCCCCAATACTGGAAGTCTTTAAGAAGATGTTGGATAGCCATTTGTCTGAAACAAATGGTATAGGATATAACGGTATAACCTCCAAGGACCCTTCCAACTCTGCTATTGTATTTGTATTTGATTGACTACTTTAGAATAAAACTCCACACTATGTTCTTAGTTTTCCTGTAATGTCTATAAAGGTATGATTTTAATCAGTTTTAGTTTGCAACTGATGATTACGCAATGTTCATAACTAAAAAAAATTGTGGAAATAATGTATATAATATACTGATTATGAATCAAATTCCTAATAGAGAATGAATGGTTTCATGTATCATTACTTTCAAGGTCTAATTATTTATATTAAAGAGAAATAAGCATGCATTAGGCTAACCAATACTGTTATAATCACAACAAATGAAAGTATGAAATATATGTTATTATAAGCTTAGTATAAAGAAAGCGGGCATACTCTGAAATATGTGCTTTATTATTATAAGTGAAGTAGCACAGAAGAAGAATCTTCTTTCAAAATCCAATGCTTAATATTATGCTACTACTAAATTTATATAATTTTCTTCTAAAATGAAAGCATATAGAAAAAATACAATAAAATTATCAATTTTTCCTCAATATTGGCACACAGTACATTATCAATGAGAAATTCCAGAGGTAAAATGAAGGCATCTGATGTTATAATTTGTTTCCTTCTATAAGTAGCATTTTGAAATACTGAAATATTTGGCCTTTATTTCCATTCCCTTTGTGAGCAAACTTATATGCATCTATCTCCCCCTAGTGAGTATCATATTGCATGTCTTTCTTTTAGACTTTATTTGCCTTAAAACCACAGAAACACAGAGCTGTGTTATTAAAAGCCAAAATAACTAAATTATGGAACTGAAACAATAGAAGGAATATTTCATGTCCTCTCTAATCTATGCAGAATATATCTCCATATTTATGCACACATTATCATGGAAATATAATAAAATAAATTTAAAATATAGAATAATATTATTCTATATTTTAGAGAATTATATATTTAATCTGCATAGAATTTTATTGTCATGCCATATTTTTATAAAGAGGGATAATGAAGGTTGGTGGGAGAGGTATACAAAACTTAGATATCCTCTTCTAGTCTGATTGAACATATCTTACTTTCTCGGCTTCTTTCTCGGCTTTTGATTGGCGGACATTGCTCCCTGTGATGTCTCTCCAATTCCTGTTCTTGCCTCTGTTGTTCAAGTTTCTGTTCTTTTTCAAGAATGTCTTGTTGATGCTTAATGGCTAAGAGTTCCTTTTGTAACTTGTAAAAAAGACAAAGTCATGAGAATGTGCAGTTTTTATGGTAGGATTGGTCATACATAATAAGGGCTTCACAAACTTTGTGAATGTATAAAAGTAGCTCTTAGAATTCGCAAGCTAGAATAGCTACAGTTACAATTCTGGAAGCTGACCCATACATTTGGAGAAATCTGTGCTATAATATATAAAATGTTAGAAAACACAATTCTACTCTATTTTGGCATTGATTTGTAAATATTTTCATTAAAAATTACATGAAATGAATGCAAGGTTTTTGAACACACTATTCTAATTTCTGCTTTCCTTTTTGCAATGAATGTATCCAATCTATTTTTATATGAAATTTATGTCTATGTGTTTGCATTTGGATCCAAAAACTGAACTACAAAGCTCATGAAATGCAAAAACCAAAATAGTTATTGTGTTCCAATTAATTGGAAAGTGTGAACTTTACAAATGTAAATCAAACTATTTATAACAAATTAAATAAATGTTCTATTCCAGATAAAAATAACTTCCCTGAAAGTAAAGAAACTAAGTTATCAAGAGTTAAGGTTTAGTTCCATCTGAACTAAAACAATATGGATTACTACTAGATGTCAGCAAAGAATTACTTTTCCTGAATTTGTTTGATACCATCTAGTGGTCATCTAAATATTGTAATTCCCTAATAATAGCTAACTCATTTCACTTATTTCAAGAAAAATTGTGGCTATAGTATTCTTGTTTATGGTCAGTTGTTTAACAGATTTTAGAATGCTATTTTTATATAAAGGGTATCAGCCTTAATTAAAAATAAATTCAGACAGCTGACAGCCATAATTTTCTTTTTTATTAAGGGATTTCCAGTTTCTGACTGAATCTCTCTTAAAAATACTTATTTTATATATATGATATGGCTTTCCTGGTGGTTTAGTTTTCAAACAAGACTTTTAACATGAGAAACCTTTTTTTCTCATTTGCTATATTGCCAACATTCCATTTGATCATTACATTATAAGCAAAGGATAGTTTCATATCCAAACTTAATCCTGATACATTATTAGAAGTAAACAGAAGCATGGAATTAAAATAGTTTCAAAGAATGAATAAACTGAAGCCACATTGTATTAAATGATTTAGCACCAAAAAAGTTACATTTATTTTGCTCATTTTAATGATCACTGATTGTTTAATAATCATTTATTCCAATTATAACAAACATTTTCAAACATAAAAGCATAGGGATAAAGGCAATCTGCTAGCTGAATAATACTAAATATTTCTGATATTTAGAAAAACAGGATCTCAAAATGTAATTCAAAATCTAAGCTTTTTAAAAAAAATTGTCCTGAAGTTTGGAAAGTGCTGTTCAAAGAACCAGTCCTTATATTTTATTTATAAGTTTTTAAAAAAGAGACACATAACAGTATATAGTACTTTTTAATTAGATCAGTATCTGTATCTTCCAAAAGTGTTCTCAAATTTGCTGACTTTACTTAGTCTTTCAATAGTAACTTGTTTTGCTGTAATTGCAAACAGCTATTCTTATATGTATATCTGCATTGAAGTGAGAGACAGATAGATATAGCAAAGTGAGGGACTAATATAAACTTTCATCACATACCATGTTGATGTACAAGAGAAATAACTCAGTCACTGCTACTCAATTTCTACAGTAACCAATCCATTCCTCCTTCTGATGCACTATGAAGAGAGGGGGGAAAAAATCTACTACCTTTATGTGCTCTTGGATCTGTGCTTGGTGCTGTCGTGTCAGGTTCTCATGCTGTTTCTGAAATTCTGCTATCAAAAGCTGTTTCTGAATCTGCTGCTGATGTTGAATCAGGATTAATTCATGTTGCAACTGCTTTTCCTGCATCAAGGGATCCATCATGGGTACCATCATCCTGACATCAGTTCTCAAATCTAATGGTCTGACTTGTTCTAATCCAAGAGGAATTTCTGATTTCACATCCACTAATACAAAAAAAAAACAAAAAACGTAGGAAATAGATTTAAATTTTATGCATATATAAAATGAAGGTTTTGTTTCCTCTCTACTTAAATAGATGTTATCTTCTCTGGCCTCTTGATAATACTGTAAGACTAGATATTATCATAAACAGTCTTTTAACTTTTCAAAGTAAGTTTTGATAGTATTTGTTGTCACAGATTTTAGTAAAACCCCAAAGCTCTTCCACTTTTGTTAAACTAATTTAAAATTAATGTGCTAGGGATAGAAAAAAAATTAACTGCTGCTGATTTTATGTGATGCTTATAAGTCATGTCATTTGATTCTTGCTATCATAAATTAAATACTTTTCATAATATGAGGCAATCCAGAATTTAATGTCAAATATTAAGGGAGAGAAGATAGCTTATATGTGAGCCACATTTTGTTCTACAATCTATTCTTTTAATTAAAAAAAATATAGGTTTTGTTTTCCTTTAAATTTAGAGCATGTTGTTAAAGAAAATAGAATATTAAATATGAAAATGTCTTACCATCACTCCATGGGAGTTGTTTCATTCATTTTTATATTATTTTCTTCTGCTTATGCATTACATTTTTGTTTGTAATATTCTTTATGAAAGGTGAAGTTAAATATCCATTGGTAATTGCTTAATTGATAAATATCAGATAACTTAGGAACTTGTATTGGGAAACTTAGGAATCAATTCATATGTTTTATGTAATAATTTGTAAAAATCAATAAAAATTGTTATTTAAATATTGTGAAATTATAAGAGACAGTTTATATATGGTACAAAAGTTTACTCTATAAATACAGTACCATATTTTCTGGCGTATAAGATGACTTTTTAACCAAAAAAAATATTTCAAAAATAGGGGGTTGTCTTATATGTCAGGTATAAGTAAGGCCATGCCAAAAAACCAAAACAAAACCATCAATCGGTGTATAAAAAATAAAAGAACAATATTGACATTGATTAAAAATGTGTTCATTTGAATGAGGTTGTTTGGGTGGAATAAACTGGCCATCCTTCTCAGCACGCCATTCGCTCCTCTTCTGCTCCGTCACCCCTGCCAACCCACCCCACACCTTGGGGACCCAAGCACCACTTCCCCGCCTGGCTGGGCTGTCGCGCTGCTGCTAGCAGGTGGAGGAGCTGGCAGGTTGGCTGCTGGTGCTGGCTTGGAGCGCTCTGCTGCTGGTCCACCTTGTGCTTTGCCACCCCGTGCTCTTTGCAGGGGCCCAGCAGGGAAAATGGGGCAGTTGTGGCCCCAGATAGGGGTGCAGTAGAAGGGGGCTGTTCTTGGAAAGCGTAGGACTTGGATATCTCCCTCTCCCCCCGGCTTGGCCCTTTCTCACTGGCTATTGAGGCTCAAAAGGGAACTGGCCAAGATGACGCCAGAGCCTGGGTTGCTTTATGCGGCATTGCACTGCAACTCTGTCCGCAGAGTGTTTGTGTGTGTGGGGGGGGCTCCTGCACTGAAATTCCAACACAGGCAGACATGTGTATGCGCCTTAATCATGTTAATTTAGTAGTCGGCCTCGTGTGTTGCGCAACATTAGTGTCTGTGGTGGGCCTGTCTTCGCATTAAAAGTTTGGTGATTGAAATAATAGGCAAGGAGAGCTGGTCTAGGGATTAAAAAGGAACAAGCTGAACTTTCTCATATAGTGGAATTCCATAGGTAATCAAAACAGCCTTTCCTGATCTGCTTTTGAGGCCTGCATGACACAATACAGCTACAAGGTACAGGTAGGCTTCACTTACAACAGTTTATTTAGAGACCATTCAAACTTACATCCTCATTAGAAAAAAAATCTTTGTAGCATTCCCCATGGTCAGGGGATCAAAATTCAGATGCTTGGCAACTGGTTCAAACTTATGATGGTTGCTGTATCCCCCCACTTCAACTCTCTCGCTAGAAGAAGACAACCCGACTCATCTGGGGTCCAGTTTGGGGAAGGGAAATGTTAGAAGGAAAAATCACTTGGAAAAATCACTTGGTTCAGTTCCAAGCTGGGAGAAAGGCACTGGAAATAAAATGGACGCTGATTGATTATTTGATGTGCCTCGGAAGAGGGTAGTCTTATACGGTGAATATAGCCCACCTCTATATTTTAACAGGAAAAGTAGGGGGTAGTCTTATACACCCAGTCGCCTTATATGCTGGAAAATACAGTGCTTGTAAAGTCTCTTAAGTTAAGGACATTCAAAAAGCATGTTCAATGAATCCCAATGACATTCCTAGGAAATGTGTCTGTGACACATTTTTGATATAAATGTGTAAGTTACATAATTTTCATGTTTGTATTGTTATGAATTTGGCATGTTATTTACAATATTTTGCATTATTGTATTTATCATTTACCCTCCATCCTTTGCAGAGAGTCATGAATATAGGAATCTATCATAGACCACTAGGACATCTAGTTCCTTATACTGCATGGATTTACAGTAGTTCTTTCTTGTTGGATAGAAATACCAGGGCCAGGTAAAAACAGAACAAATGAAATATAAATCTTCATTTCCTTTACTCAACTTTACTGACATTCCTGCTAAACTAATTTGCTACCTTTGGGCAGTCCAACAGAAAGGCCATACTCTAAAAAAAATGTTTTAATTTGTCCCATTTAGAGAAAGATGAGAAATAATGAAATATTTAGAATATTTGATGAAGTAATGGTTCTTCTTATAGAAGCGGGCATGGTCTTTAGAGATAGCTATTAGCAGCAACCGTTTGTAATTGTATATCTTTGGGATTACCAATTATTGCTTAGCAGGATGGCCATATATTGGTTACCATGCTGTACTTTATAGTAAAATATAACTTAATAATGCCATATAAAATATGCAACTATTGTTATATTGTAGCTTTAGTGACACCTCTAGCTTTTTAAATATATTGGTTTGATATCTATGTACATATCTGTATACAATATTTTTATTGAAATATATGATTGAAGGTTCTATGTAAGAATTTTTTAATGGTGTACGGAGGGGAACAGCTTAATCATGCCCATGGTGCAAAACAGATTAGTTTACATCTCATCCAGAAGAGGGCAGTATATACAAATATATCAAAGCAGTCTTCAAACAAAGATATACTACATATTTGCCTCATTTCCTGACACCTGTTTCATAAAACATATTTGGACCAATATGCAGGGTTTTTTTTAAAGACAACATTGCTGTATTTGTTCACTTTCAGCTCTCCCATAGTTAAAATAAATAAGGAAGGATTACAAAATGGATTTGAATAGCTACATCTTCTGATTTTTTAAAAACATATTTGCAGCAACAATGTGAAATTATTTAGTTTTACATATCTATTTTTTAATGCACGATGTATTGGGAGTATAGGTAGACATTAATCATGGAATATACTCAACACCTCACTATGGTACTTCCTAGCAACATGGCTTCTATTACCATTAGTATTTTTTTTCCTGAAAGTATATTTGCAAAGCTCAATGCAGTTTATTTTCCCTGGTAACTATACTTGCTTCAATGGCAATATAAAATCTCTGGCTTTTGTTCTACAATTTATCACAGAATTGCAAATCCTTGAGTTACAAAAATTATCTTTAATTATAAATAATTTTTCCAAATCTAAAGAAAAGCAGATAGTATAATCCCAGTTCTACTATTCAATTTCTACTGCAGCAATGTACATTCTATTTCTCCAGCCTAAATATAGCAGCATTTATACAAGAAATCAATAGTGCCTGGAGTGAAGAGAGGAAAGGATGAATATTCCACCCAAATCACATAGAAATAGCAATCAGTAAAATGACAGCTCAGTGAAAGATCACTTTGCCAATCCTTTAGATAAATCTTTTTTATTTGGACAATGTTTTATTCCCTTCAAGTCACAGCCTTATCATAGATGCCTTCTATTTTTAGCATTAATTGCAATGTAAGTGATAGAGGCTTGTCATGTTTACGGTAGAGCAATAGATTTTCTTATCTCTCATGCTATCTAATAGGCGTCACCAAGAACAATAAAAGTGACTAGACAGAGCAAAAATCGTGCTCCCATTAGATTAACTACAGTGGCAGAGTATAAAATATTCCTCATATAAAAAAGCAGAAAAATATATCCACATCTCTAAGAGAGTAAATACAATGCAAATATGTAAAAAGAAAAGTACACATAACACAGAATATCACAAGGAAGATTCCACTAGAAAAATACTGCCCCTCCCCCCCCATGGCCACATGCTACATATTCTTAAAATAAAAAAGTCCTAAACTATCAAATGTTTTGATGATTGTCCAATGATTTTTTTTTGAAAATTTATTTATAGGCCGCCCTTTTCCCTGGGGGGACTCAGGGTGGCTTACAACTCAAAGGGAGGGGGATACA